ATCCGGAACACTCGGTGGCCAGTGAGCTTCCCAGCACCGCAGCAGGCGCCCACACACAGCCAAGGCCCCTCCCGAGTGCAGGACCCACGGGCCATGTGGCCACCACACCCACTGCCCGCACAGGAGGCCACGCCCCAGCCAGGCGGAAGGGGACCCCAGGGAAGCGGGGGTTGTGGGGAGGAAGAGGCTGTTGGCTGGGGGCGGGGTGGTGGAGGTGGACACCGAGGTCGGCTCCGGAGGGGCTGTGACATCGCGGGGTCGTGTCGCCTGACGGGTGGGCAGGCAGCGGGGCAACGGACACTCTGGCCCCTAGAGGGTCGGCCAGGTGAGCCCAGGGGCAGGCACGCTGCTCGCAGCACCGGTCTCAACGTGGGAGACCCCACTGAGCCCCGGCTGCCTGGACAGCGGGAAGGACACTCGCGGGACGGAGCCAGCAGTGAGCGCCAGGGGCGATCGCGTGCGCACAGCGGGCACTGCCGCTCTGGCCGGGGCTGCGGGGAGCTCCAGGTGCCGAGCGCCGGCTTCTGTCTGATGAGGACAGCACCAAAGCAGAACCAGGAATGGCCACACCGAGCGAGGACAGGGCCAGGACGCCGACGCTGTCAGAGAATGAGGTCACCGAGCACGAACGTGCCACTCGCCGCCTCCGCCCGGCTGCGCCAGCCCCGTGCCAGTGGCGTCCAGACGTGGAGATGGACACGGAGCACCGAGGGTGCCAGAACGAGCTGCCGGGGCGAGGGGCGCCCCGGCTCCACGCAGCCAGAGGAGCAGACACGGTCCAGGGCCCCAGAGCACTGAGAGGACAGGGTGACTTTAAAAAGAAATTTAGGCACCGGCGCTGTGGCTCAGCGGGGGAAGCCCCAGCCTGCAGCTCCTGCTCCCATGTGGGCGCTGGTTCGAGACTCGGCTGCCCCACTTCCGATCCAGCTCCCTGCTACTCCTGGGAAGGCAGCGGAGGACGGACCAAGTGCTTGGGCCCCTGCACCCATGTGGGAGACTCGGATCAAGCTGCTGGTTCTGGATCAGCGCAGCTCCGGCCGCTGGCAGCCATGTGGGGAGTGAACGGGCGATGGCAGCTCGCTCTGTCCCTGCCTTTCAGATAAATAAATCTTAAAAAACATTTCAAAGGTAGAGTGACAGAGAGCTCTCCCATCCCCAGCTCACTGCCCCGCAGCCTGAGCAGCCAGGGCTGGGCCAGGCTGAAGAACCCAGCCTCCATCCGGTCTCCCCGTGGGCACAGGGGCCGAGCCCCGGGCCGGCTTTCCCAGGCCGTGAGCAGGAGGCTGGATCAGAAGCGGGGCCGCCGAGTGCCGACACGGGGTGCACACACGTGTGCCGTGGTCACGCTGACATTCACGGGTCGTGCTCATGTTCACGGATGCCTGCGGGAGTTCTGGGAGTTCTGGGAGGGGGCGGTGACGGCCGCGCGGCCTCGGTGCCCTCACAGGAGCCACCACGGATGCCGTGTCACGTGCACCTCAGCTCCACGCATCTGTGCCGTGAGTCCCGGCGGGAGGCGTGCACACGTGTGCTGCTCCCAGGAGACCCCGCAGAGCCACCCGAGCCGGGAGCGAGCGAGGGGTTGGAGCAGCTGACCCCCACCCAGGATCCAGGGCAGGGACCACCAGCGTGGGACAAAGCGGAAACCCGGAGGGCATCCGGGATCCGCGCGACCTCTAAGCCCAGGGCAGCGAGCCAGGCAGAGCAGGGCCGGGGTCCAGCCGGGGCCTGCGGCCTGCGGCTCCAGGGAGGCGCCCACCGCGGGTGCAGGAGGGCAGGGGCGCGACGGGCCGCGGTCGGAGCCTCCTAACCCCCCACCCCCCACCCCGCAGTCCTCGTCGCGGGAGGCATCGTGGCCACGGCCGGGCGCTTCACCCAGTGGTACTTCGGCACCTACGCCATGTATCCTTGTGCGGACCGCGCGGTGGGGGGCGGGGCAGGGGTCCGAGGCCACGCCCGCCTCCTGCCTGGCACCCGCAGCTCCTTAACGGTGACCCAGCGCGGCGGGGGTGCTGGTCTGCCTGCTGGAGTACCCGCGGGGCAGCAGGGCCAAGGGCTCCACCCTGGAGCGATGGTGAGTGGGGCGGGGCGGGGGGCGGGGGCGGCTCCCCTGCGGGGGCGGGGCGCGTCCTGAGCCGGTGTCCACCCGCAGTGGACAGCGCTACCTGACCGCCGTGCTGAAGCTCCTGGGGCCGCTCAGCAGGAACTACTACTTCCGCGCCGCGCTGCACCTGGCGTGAGTTACAGGCTCGGCCGCAGTGGGGGCGGGGGCGGGACGGAACCCGGTCCGGCTCCGGCCGAGCTTAGCTCCCGCGTCTGCTCCCTAACAACGTGGGGTTCTGGGGTGCACTGGGCTCCCCTGGCTGCCTGGACTGTGTCCTCACACGGGGTTGATGCGTGGCGGGGCGGGAGTGAGGGGGGACTGCCCCTGCGTGACCAGCGTGGCCACTGTGTCCCAGAGCAAGTGGCCCAGGGCTGTGAGGGTTTAACTCACAGCCCGCGGCGGTGGTCAAACTCAAGCCACACGTGGGCAGAGCCCGGCCTTGGCACTGGGGGACGGCGCTTCTGCCTGCGTCTTGTCCTGAGACTGTGTGGCGTTGGCCCCAGGCCCAGGGCTGCAGACCCCAGACTGCCCAAGCCCCTCCCCCCAGGTTGTCGGTGCCTGCAGGCTTCCTCCTTGCTACCATCCTGGGGACCGTCTGCCTGGTCATTGCAAGCATCATCTACCTGCTGGTGAGTGCCCGGCCGCTGGCTCCGCCCCCCCCCCCCCCCCCCAGTCCCAGCCTTGGCCAGGGGCTCAAGGCAGGCCCGGGCCCCACCTGCTGTTTTGTGCGCATCTGATGTGGGTGGGGCCATCTGGCTTGCTCCACCCACACCACAGCCCCCACCGTACAGACACAGGTGCTCAGAGCGGGGACATGGGGACACACGGTCAGCCGAGGACGCAGCCTGGGTCCAGCTCGGACCGCCAGGGTCCTTTCATCCAAACCCTCTCTGCCCACATGGGGCATCGTCGGGGCGCCCAGGGGCTCTGTCAGCTGCTAGGAGGGGGGGGGCAGAGGCATCTTCCATCCGCTGGTTCACTCCCTGGATGTCCACAGCAGCCAGGCTCGGCCAGGTGGACGCTGGCCTGGGCCAGGGGCTCCGTTCTGGTCCCCCCATGGGTGGCAGGGGCCCCCTAGAGGAGGCCCGGCAGCCCCTGGGGTCTTGCAGTCTGTGCCTGGCAGTGGCTCCCAGGGATTCTTCCAGAAACCCAGAAGTCCCCAGCCTGTCCCCCTCCCTGGGCCCCCCTGGCCTGCAGAAGTGGCTCTAGGCCATGGCCGGGCCAGGCGCTGGGTCGGGGGCTCTGGCTGGCCCAGACAGCCCTGCTCTGCCCCCAGGCTGCCGTCCGAGGCGAGCAGTGGACGCCCATCGAGCCCCGGCCCAAGGAGCGGCCGCAGGTCGGAGGTACCATTAAGCAACCGCCCAGCAACCCACCGCCCCGGCCCCCCGTGGAGGCCCGCAAGAAGCCGGGGGAGGAGGACGCGACCCCGGCCGGGGGTCCCCCAGGAGGCCCTCGGGTCAACCCCATCCCCGTGACGGACGAGGTCGTGTGACTGCCACCTCTGACCGCCCCTGCTCCCTGAAGCGGCCACGGCCACCTGCAGTAAACACAGTGGACATCACACGCGTGCGTGAGTGTACGTGCTTCCTGGGGCGGGGCTGGCCTGTGCAGGGTCCGCCGGACCCCTGGGGGAGCCACACCACATACCGTGCACCCCAGGAAAGGTGGACCCACATTCCACACCCGTGTTTCTACACACGCGTGTTTCTACTCAGAAGCACAGTCCTGTGAGCCTGGGGCCCCCTCCACTGCGTTTGGGTTCTGGGGGTCGACGGGGCCGGCACCCCCATCTGCCCCTCGCCAGCCATGCATCAGCCAAGGACCTCGGTGGGTTCCCTCCTCGCTGGCCTCCCGCAGCCGACATCCAGCCCCTCGAGAGCAATGCCCGCCCTCCGGTCAGCCATGTCCTGGGTCTCCATGCACGCCCAGCCTCAGCCCTGTCCCCAGCGTAAATCAGAATCTGCCGCACCTGCGCCCGCCCGGCCCACCTGGCTCTGCCCCGCCCCTGCAGACCACGCCCCAGGACTCGCCCCACAAGCCGGGCCCCCTGCAGCCCCGCCCACCACTCTGACCCCACTGTCACCTCCCCCCCCCCCCCCCCCGGCTCCCCGACACACTGACCTCGGTCTGGCCCTCGGACACGCCGGGCCCCTGCCATCTCGGGGCCTCCGCAAGTCGCTCTGCCCTCCCCTTCTCTGGTCTTCTCGGCTCAGACCTCCTGGCCAGGCCTCCCTTGCCCTGCGGGCAGGTTCGGTGCCCCTTCCTCGCCGTGGACGGACTGACGGCCAGTCACGGGCCAGTGGGGAGGAAGGCAGGGTTGGTTTTGTTCCCGGCGCCCGGTAGTGCCGGCACTTAGGAACGCAGCAGGTGCGTGTTGAAAAGTCCTCCCCGGCTCTCGACACACGCTGCCTGAGGTTTCTTGTCTGGGCTCCTGGGGGTGAGCCCTGGTGTCCAACAGGCACTCGCACACAGCAGGGGGTGAGGATGGCTGGCCGGCCACGGGAGGTGTAGACAACCGCCCGGCAGGGAGACGGCGGTCAGGGTGAGGGGCTGGGGCCGAGCCAGGCCCCCTTTGTACCAGCGAGGCCCGACAGGAAAACGGCGGCAGCGGGGGGGCGGGGGGGGGGGCGGGGGGGAGTGCAAGCAGGTGGTCCTGGTGGCCCGGGTCTGGGGTGGACAGCACGAGGAGGCCAGTGGAGACGCCGGCCCTGGACTGGCGCCCTGGTGGACGCGGGCCCAGCAGGCCGAGGAGCAAGCCCCGACCACCGGCAGCGGGGCGGGGTGGTCAGGGGCTGACCTGTGCCCCCGTCCCCCCCCCCCCCCGCAGCTGCCGCTCATGCGCAGACTGTCCCAGGGCGCTCCTGGGGACCCGCTGCGCGCGGGGTCGGCTGCGCGCGGGGTCGGCGGCGCGGGCGCACGAGGACGTACGAGCCGCGGAACTTCCTCTCCTGGGTGCTGATCCGTTTACTAACACGCACGTGTGCGCAGAACAGTAAACGAGGAAGCGGCCGCGCGCTCGTCCTCAGGGGCGGGGGACATAAATAACCAATAAATACAAACAGGAGGGAGCCGCCCACGCCCCGTCAGCGGGCCGACCGCGGCAGGACGCAGGTGCAGCCGACCGGCACGCGGATGAACTCGGCGTGGAAGGCGAAGGCCCCCGGCGTGGGCGGCCCCGAGCCGGCGCGGGAGCAGGCCCGGCGGCGCAGCACCAGGAGGCTCTGGTGCAGCTGCACCGAGCTGAGCGCGGCCGTCTCGCGGCCCGTCCTGGTGCTGATGCAGCCCCGGCACAGGCACTCGGCGAACGCCAGCTTCTGGGGGTAGCGGTTCTCGTCCGTGTCCACGCTGTGGGGAGGACGGCAGTGAGGCCCCGGCCCAGCCCAGCTCAGCGCCCAGGCAGCCCGCCCCCTCCCCCCACCGCCCGTGCCTCTGCGCGCTCACGAGGGGCCTGGGGGAGAGCCGAGGACAGGTGTAGGAGGGGACTGGGTGTGGCCTTGCAGGGGCTCAAGGAGGGACAGCAGCAAGGACAGCCCAGCTGGCGGCCGGCAGTGGACAGAGGGTTGAGGGAGAGTCTGTCGGCGACCAGGTGGGAACCTGCTACAGGGGCCCAGTGCCCAGACAGGGGAGCGGGGACGGGACCGCCCAGCCCGGCGCGGCCAGCACAGACCCTGCAGCCCTCACCGGTACGTCCAGGGCGAGATGGAGCGCTGGTGGGTCTCTGCCTCCAGCACCTCCTCCGGCCGCAGCACTGGGCACTGGGGCCCAGCCGGGAGCCCCTTGTGCCGCCTCCGCTGGTCTGCCGCCTCCAGGCTGGACACCAGGGCTACAGGCAAGGCCTGCTCCCACCGGGCACCTCGGGCCAGCAGGTGTGGTGGGGCCTGGCTAGAGCCCAGTTCTTCGGCCGAGTAGCAGCGAGGGGCCCCCCAGCTGTGGGTGTGGGCACCTCTCCAGAGTGGGGGTCCGGGGTGGGCCAGGCTGGCGGGCAGCCAGGTCAGAAGCAGGATTCCAGGGAGAATCTGGGGGACAGCACAGGCAGTCGGGGTGGGCCTCGCTTCCCCCCGAGCCTGCAGGAAGATGGGGTACAGGTGTCTGCAGAGACGGGGACCGCGCTTAGGGGCTCTGAGGCCTGGGGGAGCTGGCTCCCCTTCTCTCTCGGTGTGGGGGCTTCATCCTCACACTGGGCCCGAGACCGCAGCCCTTCCTGGCCAGGCCGCAGCCACGTGCGGAGGGGCGGGGCGCTGGGCTCACCATCTCGGTAGCAGCGGCAGCGGTGTCGGCCAGGCCGGAGCAGCCTCACCCCTGGCAGCAGTCCCGGCGTGCACCTGGCGGCCGACTTGGCTGGGCCGGCTCTTTATACCTGGGGCCACACCTGGGGAAAATCCAACAGTTTGCTCCTTGGGAAGTGCCCGGCCACGAGTGCTTCCGCCTCCGGCGCTGTGCACCCCCACCCAGCACCTGGCCGGCCCGGCCTGGTCACCCCTGCAGCTGCTGCTCCCGGACCTGAGCGCCTGAGTGGGGGTGCACGTGGGGAGATCGGGGCCGCTGCCTGGGGGGGGGCGCTGGGGCCAGGCCTCGTGGTTTTATTTATTTATTTATTTTAATACGGTTGGGGATGCTTTTCTGTGAAACTTGTCAGAACTTTTTTTTTTTTTTTAAGATTATTTTATTTGAGAGGCAGATTTACAGAGACAGAGAAATCTTCCATTCGCTGGTTCACTCCCCAAATGGTTGCAATGGGCAGGGCTGGGCCAGGCGGAAGCCAGGAGCCAGGAGTTCTTCCAGGTCTCCCACGTGGGTGCAGGGGCCCAAGGACTTGGGCCACCTTCCACTGCTTTCCCAGGCCACAGCAGGGAGCTGGACTGGAGGTGGAGCAGCCGGGACTCGAACTGGCGCCCACATGGGATGTCTACCCGCTGCGCCACGGCGCCGGCACCTGTGGGTTTATTCTAACAGGAGTTCAAGCTACAGCGTTTGGGGGGGGGCAGACATTGGCACACTGGGGGGGACCCGCGTCCCCTGCCAGAAGTGCCTTTAAAACACAGGTCGGACCTGGGAGAGGCGGCCTCCATCCACCGCCTGCGGCTGGGGCTCACCCGGTCTCCCACGCTGGGCGGCAGGGACCCAAGGACCTGAGCTGCCCCTGCTGCATCACAAGCGGGGGGGGGGGGTACCAAGGCCCAGGCACCCCAGGCCACACTGCCTGCTCCAGCTCTGCCTCTGAGTGAACTCCAGTCTGGAAGGGAGGAGGGGCTGCCGGCCCTCAGGGTGCTGGGTGCCCTGGCTGAGCAGCAGGGAGCTGGGAGCCTCAGGGGACCTGCCCAGGCCGCTCCACACCTGCCTGCAGGTGCTGGAGTGTTCACCCTGTCGGTGCCCCTCTGAGCTGCGGCCCTCCGCTCCCGGCGCTGGAGCAGGCACCAGAACACAGCGGTGGGACCGGTTGGAGGCCACCTGAGCCTCAGTGGTACAAGGGATGGATGCTGTCCCAGGGCCTGTACTCGCTGGAGTGAGTCCTAGCGCGGCTCCTCTCCACGACGCCCCTGCTTGCATACTTCCTGCCACGGGGAGCTCACCCCCTGTGTTCTTTCCTGGGCTGTCCTAATACAGTACAGCCAATGGGTGGCTGGAAGCGCCACGAGTTGGCTGGCACGTGGTCCTGAGGCTGGGTGGGTCGGGGTGCAGGGGGCTCCCCCAGGCCCGGGGCCCCGGCCTCCCACCCCATGCACAGGGCTCCTCGTGGCCTCTGTCCCCTCCTGGGTCCTACAAGGATCAACTCTGCTCAAGCTCCTCCCACTGAAAGACCTGCCGCCGGGACCCGGGGCGTGGGCCGCACCTGCACCCTCTAAGGGCCCGGCTCCCCGCCTCCCTGCAGGCGGCTTCCAGGCCTTCGTCCCCCCCCAGGCAGTGTGGGCTCCCTGGGGCGGGGGCTGTCGTGGGGCCCACTGTGCCCCCCACCAGAGTGATGCTGCCTCCCAGGCCCGGCTCTGCCAACGCAGGAGGGGACGATGGGGGAGGCGGCAGCGTGGAGCCCAGCCCGTATCACACACAGCGTGGGTCGGAGTCCCGGCTCCTCTGCTGCCGGCTGATGGCCCAGGTGCTTGGGCCCCTGCACCCACGTGGGAGACCCGGATGGTGCCGTCGCAGCCTCTTGGGCAGTGAACGCGTGCCCGGGGGAATCTCTCTCTCAAAATGAGTGAACGAAAAAAGAGGGAGAGACAGGCTGGCAGCAGCCCCGGCAGAGCGGCTGGGGCCCAGGACGGGGTGCCAGGCCCAGGCAGCATGGCTGTCTTGAGACAGGGTCCCTGTTCCTCCTCGGAAAGAAGCCCCGCCCCTGCCCCTTGACCCCTGCATGCCCCCCAGAGCCCACCCTCCCACCGCAGATGGTTGGGGGCCTGGCAGGGCAGAGCGTACTGGCTTCCCACGCACCCAGCCCGTGGAGGGGACGGGGCACACCCGCCCTGCACTGGGGCTCCCTGCTCCACCATTCTGAGTGGGGCACGGGGTCTCCCAGGGGGTTCCCCGGGTCAGGCCCCTGTCAGGGAGGGGCTTTTTTTTTTTTTTAAATTATTTTATTTATGGTAGAGACAGATCTTCCATCCGGGAGTTCACGCCCCACCGGCCGCAAGGGCGGAGCGGAGCTGATCCGATCCGAAGCCAGGAGCTTCCCCGGCCTCGGCGCGGCGCAGGGCCCGGGCACTTGGGCCCCTCCGCGGGGCTGCCCTGCGCCCCCACACGCGGCAGCTACACAGCGCCCCGCCCCGCGCACCCCCAGCCCCAGCCCCTTCGCAAGGGGCGGCGGCCTCGCGGGGCTGCCCGCGATGTCGCCACCCCAGGGTGGCCCGGAGCCTCCCCGCAGCCCCCAGCTCCGTCCGCGGAGGCCGGAAGGGCGCGGGGTGGGGCGCGTCCCCGAGGGCGCTGAGGCAAACGCAGAAGTCCCGGGTTGGGCAAGACGGGAAAGGCGCCGAGGAGGAAGCCGCGGCGAGGCCCCGCCCCGCCCCGCCCCGCGGGCCGCGAGCAGGAGCGCCCCCCCTTAGCGGCCCCCCAGGGCTGCTCCGGAACGCAGGGGTCGCCCCAGCCCCGAAGGGGCTGCCACAGAGGTCCCAGCCGGGCTGAGGGGCCGCCAAGGCCCTCCCGAGCACGGCCCGGTCCCCTGCTCCGGGAGAGCAGCGCGCCCTCCGCCAGGCCGGCCGAGCCCAGGTCACCGCCCTCCCCTCCCCTGCACACAGTGACCGCGGTCCCACCGCACGCGCAGGCCGGCCCGGCCGGGGCTCTGTCTGCTCTCGTGGGAGGGGAGACCCGGGGGTCACACCTGCTCCACCGCGGCTGCCCGGCCCAGGGCCCAGGGCTGGACAGAAGCCACCCACTCCTGCCCCAGGCAAGCCCCAGACACCAGGGTGGGCGGCGGGCAGCCCGCAGGCAGGGAAAGCGAGGCACCGCGCACGGGGGCTGGGGCGGAGCCGGGCACAGACACCTCACCACGGGGCTGCTTATCAAAATATTTTATTTTAGGAGAACCCTCAAAAAAAGACCCTCCACATCAGACGCCCCAACACCACCCTTGGCCTTTTTTTTTTTTTTTTTGGTCTTTTCTGAAATTTTTTCTTCTTTTTTAAATCAACTAAAACAATTTGATGCTTAAAATAAGAGACAGGAAATCGTCCCCAACCAGACTGGAGCCAAGAATATATATATATTTCTGACCCTGGGGAGGGGAGGCGGCCAGTAGTCACCCAGTGTCCGGTCTCGCGCCTCGCGGCAGGGAGGCGGCGCCGAGGGCCCGGCCGGCTACCCAGGCCTGCCCAGGGCAGGGGACGGGGCGGCCGGCGGGGCCCTATAATTTACAGAGAATCCGCGCGGCCCCGCCGCCCGCCGGGACTTGGGGGGGAGGCCTGGTGGGAGCTGGGAGTCGGCGTCGCCTTCATCTCATGTGTGGCTTCTTTCCAGCTGAGAAACACTTTTTCTTTTCAATTATTAAAAAGACGCAGCCTGGGAGGGCCCTGCGCGGCGGCTACACCTTTCCCGGGATCTTGGCGCGCTTGCGCGCGATGGCGTCCTCCACCGCCTTCAGCTGCTTCAGCAGCTCCTCCCGCCGGGACAGCGTGCTGGCCTTGCCGGCCTTGCCGCCGGCCGCGCCCGCCTCCGAGCCTTTGCCAGGCACGCTGGTGACCTTGCTGGAGCTCTTGGACTGGGGGGACAGCTGGCGCTTCCTGCAGGGGCGGGCGGAGCGTGAGGGGCAGCCCACGCCCCGCCCTCCTGGGGTCACACAGCCCGCCCCATCTCACACCCCCAGTTCTGCAGCGCAGGTCTCCGGGGGCGGGGCCGGGGCCGCCCCTCCCCACCGGGCACAGCACCCAGGGCACGGGCAGGGACTCACCTGTCCGCAGGGGCCACAGGCGCTCGGGAGTTCTGGCCTCTCTGCCGCTCCGGCTTTGGGGAGCCTGGCCGCCCACCTGACTTCCGGTCCCGAGACCCTGGGCAACAAGGGCCGCGTCAGGACCACTGTGGCCAGCTGCCCGGGCCCGGCACGCGCCAGGGACCAGTTCTGAGGCGACTTCGCACCTCTCGGCCCTCAGCACGCAGGCCTCAGCCACCAGCAGGAGGGTGCAGTTCAAGGAACCACCGGAGGCCCAGGACGAGGGCCCGGCCAGCCTTGCCTTCCCACTGGGGGTCGGCGGCGGCAGGCCCGTGGGCTTGTGGGTGGACGAGGGTCAGTGTGACCCCCTCAGGGGGGCTCCCAGGGACCGAGTTAACGACTGTCACCCAGAGACCCTCTGCGTCTCCTGACAGCCTTGCTCTCTGGGGCCCCTGTGCCTGAGAGGCCCGGGCTCACCTCGGTCCGGGGACAAGTTGGCCCGCTTGGCTGGGGGGCTCTGCCTGTCCTTGTCAGACGGCTCGTAGCGCTTCCGGCTTCCTTTGTCGGCCGCCTGGGAGGACGCAGTGATGAGGACGGGGGCAGGGAGGGCCTGACTCCTCAGCCCTGCACCTGCCCACTGCCCCCACAGGTTCCTCCTCTGCCCCCAGGCCCCCCAGGCCCGCCCGTGAGGCTCTGTGGCCGGGTGTGGCCTCCAGTGACCACAGCACTACCCTACCGCGGGGGCGGCTCTGAAGGAACCGGCACAGGGAGTGTCCACGGCCTCAGTGGCACTGTGCTGCGTGCGGCCGTCGGTGGCTCAGGGACAGGCGGGATGGACAGAGGCGGCCTCGGGCCTCACCTTGTTCAGCAGAGTCAACTTGATCTCCTTGTGGGCCACGAAGGAGCCCTGTGGGGGCTGCCCGGGGGGCACCTGCTGGGGCGTCGTGGGGGGCTGTGCGGACTTGCCGCCTGCCAGGGCTCTCGTGGACTTGGCTGGCTGAGTGGCCGAGTCCCTCTTCCGCTTGTCCTCTTTAGCCCCGTCTTCTCTCTTCGATTTTCCTGCAGAGGACAAACGCTCAGGCACGGCTCTCCGGCGCCCGGAGGCAGCCACTGCGTGGCCCAGAGCCGCACCCTGGAGCACGGCGCCCACGTACCTTTCTCCTTCTTGGTCTGGGCTGGGGTGGGGGACCTCGAGCTGGCCGAGGACACGGGGCTGGCCAGATCCGCGTACATGTCATCCGAGTCCACACTGCGCGCTGAGCTGCTGCTGGAGGTGGCGCTGGACACCGAGGACACGCTGCTCACGCTCAGGGACCTGGACACACAGACACACACGTCTGCACTGAGACACGGACCTGGGGGGCACACACACACACATACACACACGTCTGCACTACCTGGGGGCACACACACACACACACACACGTCTGCACTGAGACTCGGACCTGGGGGGCACACACACACACGTCTGCACTACCTGGGGCGCACACACACACACACACGTCTGCACTACCTGGGGCGCACACACACACACACACGTCTGCACTACCTGGGGCGCACACACACACACACACGTCTGCACTACCTGGGGCGCACACACACACACACACGTCTGCAGCACGGGCTGGCCCGGGGGCCGTGGGGGGCGGGAGGTCTCCATGCTCCATCAAAGCGGCTCAGCCAGCGGTGGTGACAGGCCTGTCAGCGGAGCCCCAGAGCCGAGTGGGGTGCGCGAGAGCTCAGGTGCCCCTGGGAAAGGGCGGAGGGCGACCCTTCCCCCGGCCCCATGGTGCAGCCATGTGCGTGCCCTGCCCCACGCGGAGACTCCAATCTGTACCGCCCAAGGCTGGCAGGCTCGGGACCAACCTCTGCCCGCTGCTTAGAGGCATCCCAGCCCACTCAGCACCTGGGCAGGCGTGGAAGCCCCCCTCTCTCCCGACACGGGAGTGAGCCTGCTGCACGCAGGCCAAGGCTGGGGTCGACGCCCGCCCAGCCAGGGTGCGCGGGCCCATCCTCCCAGGAGCGGGCATCGGCAGACAGTCCCGTACGTGCACACGGGGTCACTGGCCTCACGGGAGCCACTAGCACGGCCACACTGCCCAAGACCACGCCCCGAGGGAAAGGCAGACACACAAGTGGAGGGGCCAGGGAGGGCCGGGCAGTGACCTGGACCGGGAACTGGAGCCGCTGTAGCTGCTGCCGCTGCCGCTGCCGCTCAGGGTCCGCCTGCAACAAGCAGAGACGGCTCAGGGCCGGGTGCGAGACGCAGGCCCACGCCGCCACTGCAGCGCCCGGGGTGGCTCCCTCTTCCCCAGGCGCGGCTCTTCCTCAAAATACAAAAGCCGTGCGCCAAGCAGCCTCCTCTCATGGCTGCAGGCTCAGCGGGGAGGGGCCCCACCTCTCACCCAGGCGCCCTGGCCCCCCATAACCTCGCTCTGGACACGGGCGGGTAGACGTCTGTCACTACCTGCTCCAGGTAGCACCGAGGACACAGAGCCCACGCTGGCCGTCAGCAGCCGGAGCTGCCGTGCTCACCTCCTGGGGGGGGTCCTGGCTGGTCGCTCCTTCCTTCTGACTTCCCGAGGGTCTCCAGGCTTGGTGGGCTCAGGGGCAAGAGCAGAGGCTTTCGTGGCCTGTGGCGCGGCTGGGGGTGGGGCGGGCTTCTTCACAGACTTCTCTCTGCAGGGCAGGGAGGCCCGGTGCACGCCTGTGGCCCTCGTCAGCTGGCACAGGCGCGCTCCCGGCGCCTCTGGGGCCACGCAGCACCATCCCCCACGCCAGTGCGCCCCTGGACTGCTCAGCAGTCCTGGCCGGGGGGCAGCCACGAGCCTCCTCTCCACAGCAGAGCTCCGTCCGCCCCAGGAAGGCCGGCAGAGGACTGCGCCTAACCCAGGGCCGCCCCTGCGCCGCCCAGAGGGAGCCTCACTGTCTAAAGCGCTCTGAGGCCGGCAGGTAAGGCCGCCTCCTGCTGAGTGACACAGTTCCCTGGCGCCACCCTAAGGAGCCTTCCCAGCTCTGCCTGGTACTCCTTGAGGGGCAGGCACCGTGGGGGTCCCGCGCCTAGGCCCCCTCCACCTTCCCAGGACCAGGCGCGCACTGTGGTCACGGGCACGTGTGAGAAGGAAGACGGAGGGGCCGGGCCTTCGGCCTGGAACTTACCCTGCCTTCCCCGGAGGCGGGGCCGGCTCCCCCTTGGCTCTGACAGAAGGCCGGTGTGGGGACGGCGTCGGGGACGGGGACGGGGATGACGAGAAAGACCGGGACCTGGGGGCGAGGAGAGGCGTGAGGGGGAGAGCCCGTGCGTGGCGCCTTCCTTCAGGGCAGGGCCGGGTGCAGCCCAGACCCTGGACACGGTGACAGCCACAGACTGCAACGTTCCACTCCCACCTCAGCCTTCCATGTGGCCGTAGTCGGTCCTCATTGGCTAAAAATACCCGCCCCCCATAGAAGGGAGAGAGCTCAGAGGCAGCTGGACCCGGCACACGCCACTGGGCCCCCTGGAGGTGCCACGGGCAGACGGGCAGGTGGCTGCGGCCCTGGACGCCACGAGGCCACCGCGCAAGGCCAGACTGGCCTGGGAGTGACGGCTGCCAGTTCTGGGGGAGGGAGCAGGCCGGCGCAGCCACACCATTCTGCCTGGGAGCGCTCCGCCCTGCTGCAGCCGCCCCGTGGTGTCCCCCTCAGGGCTGCGGCGTGCCTGTGGGCACCACCACACAGGACTGACTCCGTCTCAGTGCCCACACCTGTCGGGAAGGGAAAGGCAAGGCTGCCCCGGCCGCGCGAGGCCCAGCCAGAGGGACTCCCAGGAGGCTCCTGCCGACCCGCACCTGCGCCCCTGCTCCCCGGTTCCCACAGGCCTCAGGGCCCGATTTCACAGGAGCAGCCGGGGGCCTGGCTGGGCACGAGGGCCAGCAGCCTGGACAGGAGGGCCCACACCAGGCGGCCTGGGCAAGAAAGGCACGGCTAGCTGTGGCAGCGGCCAAGAAGTTCACATCTGGGGGGCGGGTGGCACCTCCGCAGACTGTCCCTGTCACACGTCAGCGTCTCGGTGTGCAGTCCCCGCAGTGCTGGGTGGGGCCACACAGCACCACCTCTGTGGGCGGCGTGTGCACGCACATGGCCTCTGTCCGATGACACAGCTGAACGTCCTACCCACCCCGCCTGCAGGGAGGGCCCAGCCAGAGTGGAAGGTGAGCAGCTGCCCACCACCCCGACTCCCAGCCTCCTCCCCCTCCTGGCTGGCTGTCCCGTGGGCAGGGCGGGCTGGGGTGGCCCGCTGCGCCTGTGCCACTGGGACAACCCCTTTACTCCACTAATGACGGCTATTTTTCTACCCAAAGGACAGCTAAGAACTAAACAAAGTGTCCGTTTCCGATGGAGAAAATCCGCCAAGTTGTCTGGACCCCCAGAACCTTCTGGGATGAGAGCACCGTCCCGTGTCGCCAGTGCACGTGGCTGCCAAGTGCCTGCCATCTGGCTTGTGCACAGCGGCCAGCGGCCAGCGGCCAGCGGCCCTGCAGGGGCGGGAAGGCCCGGCCAGCTAAGCACCTCCTCCACGCCTGTCCCGCACGTGAGGCTAATGACTGCTGGTTCTCAACGTCTCCCACCAGGCACCACACGCCGGCAGCTTGCTGAAGCACTGCAGGGGAGGCGCCGGCGGAGCCAGCCCGGCTGTCAGGCCCGAGTCGGGCGGGGACGCACCTGGAGCGGCTGCCTGAGAACGAGCTGTGTCTGGAAGAGCGGCTGGAGTAGGAGCTGTAGGAGGAGGAGCGGGAGCGGGAGCGGGACGAGCCCGAGCCGGAGTAGGACGAGGACCGCGAGGACGACCTGTGAGGCCAAGGAGAGGGAGAGGCGGCCGCTGAGAGGGGCCTTTCGGCTGCCCCGCGGAACCTGCCGCCCTGCGCACACACGCACGTCTCCACGCTGCAGCGCTCAGAGCTGGGCACGCGTGCGCACACGTGCTAACTTGCCCGCGTGACTCGCTGCGTCCACCTGCACGCACTGCCAGGCCTCGGCTCCTACGAGCGCGGCGGGGCTCACCCAGACCCCACCTGCCCACCTGGACCGCCTCTGGCAGGCAGCAGGCTCGCCTCCTCGCACGCTCAGACACAGAACACGCGTGCAGCCGAGGCAGACAACGGGGCTCAGGTGAGTGGCGTCAGGCGGCGGCGGTGCCCTCTGGGAGGTCGAGCCAGGCTCCTGCACAGCGGGCTGCCAGGCTGGCCCGACCTGGCAGGTGCTGACCGGCACAGACCTGGGCCGGCCTCCTCACCTGGAAGAATTGGAGGCAGAGGCGGACGAAGCGGATGTTTTCCGCCGCCTTCGTGCGCGGCTAGGGGACACCGACACCCCGAGTTTCTTCTTGGGAGACTTGGATCGGCGCCAAGGGTCCTTCCACTCGTCTGCTCGCTTCACCTGGGGCCCCGCGGACGCAGCCTCCTTCTTTGGTGGCTCCGCTTGACGGCTGCAATCAGAGAAGGGTTAGCAACGCCACTGCGGCGGGGCTCCGACAGCCAGCTGGTGTGGGAGCATCCGAGGACACCCACGTCTGAGACGTGCGACGTCCTTCATTCACAGCCTTGTCCACAGACAAGCAGAGCCACCTCCAAACACGGCCTCAACTCACACGTCACTGTGCGCGCTGACGTTCCTGGTGCCAGCACTGCATCGTCAGCTGTGGGCGGGACGGCCCGGCGCCGGCTTGGTCCAACACTCTCTCGAGTGCAGGCACAAATGCATAATAATCTTTTAGAGATCAGAGAGGGGCCGGCGCTGTGGTGCAGCAGGTTAAAGCCCCAGGCTGCAGTGCCGGCATCCCATATGGGCGCGGGTTTGAGTCCCCACTGCTCCACTCCCGATCCAGCTCTCTGCTGTGGCCTGGGAAAGCAGTAGAAGACGGCCAAGTCCTTGGGCCCCTGCACCCACGTGGGAGACTCAGAGGACGCTCCTGGCTCCTGATCAGTGCAGCTCCAGCCGTTGTGGCCATCTGGGGAGTGAACCAGCGGATGGAAGACCTCTCTCTCTCTCTCTGTGTGTAACTCTTTCTAATAAATAAACAAATCTTTAAAAAAAAAATCAGAGAAACAAAACTTTTTGTCTTCAAATGCAATTAAGAAGTTTATAAATGAAGACATCTGTGCCTTAGAGTTTCTCTGCTCTCTGGTTTTTGTTAAAAGAACTGGCTGAGCTGCAGCTGACAACATCTAAGGGTGCCGGGCCTCCCTCCAGCGTCCAGAGTGAGGCTGGTGGGTGGGAGAGAGGCGGCCCTCAGGAGGGGCTGGGTCGGGGCATTCACGGGCACACAGTCAACTGGAAACGAGCCACAGACTTGCCGTGTGCGACAGCCAAATTCTGCCTCGCTCCGCAGGCCACACGGTGGCAGTGACGTAACTCATGTCACCCGGAGACCTGGCCCGAGAGGCCGACAAACCCTTTGACCACTCTCAGCGGGGCGGGGTGCAACAGGGTGCGAGGAAGCTGGCCAGCCCCGTCCTGACCTCAGGCCCTGGGCCACTCGCCCGAGAGCTCACAGTGGGGCGAAGGATGAGACGCCAACGGCGTCACCTGGAAGTAAACCACGAGGCGCCGTCACACATCCCTCTCGGTTACACTGGGCTCCCTGCCATCAGCTCCAGTCAGACAAGAACAAACCAAGAATTCCGGCCCCTGCAGAACCAGGGCGTGGCTTCGGTTCCTTCTCCACAGCACCTCTGAAGGCGGTCGAGCCTCCTCTCTGCCTCCTGACCGCTGTCGTCTGCGCCCCTGCCTGGGCCACCGCCAGCTGTGCTGTGTGCACTGCTGCCCACACGCCTCCGCGGCATCCAGCCTGCTGCCCACACGCCCCCGCGGCGTCCAGGCTGCTCCTCACTCTCTCCACTGCCCGGTCAGACCTGCATTTCCTTCCAGCTGCCGTCTCAGTGCCTTACAAAGCTCAGGGCCCAGGGAGACCAGAAGAAGCTCCTGGCTTCAGTCTGGCCCAGCCCAGCTGCTGTAGCCATGTGAGGAGTGAATCGGTGGATGGAAGACCTCTATCTCTTTCAAATAAATAAAAAATAAATAAGTATTTGTTTATTTAATTGAAAGAGAAGCAGAGAGTCTTTCTATCCGCTGGTTCACTCCCCAGGTGGGTGCTAAGCAGCAGCTGAGCTGGTCTGGAGCCAGGAGCTTCTTCCGGGTCTCCCGTGTGTGTGCGGGGGCCCAAGCACTTGGGCCACCTTCCCAGGTGCATCAGCAGGGAGCTGGACCACAAGCGACGCAGCAAGGACTCAAACCAGCAACCCTATGGCTTCTTCCCTCTCCCCCTCTCTTTTTCACAAAGCTGGTATTTAAAAGGTTTCCCATTTCTGCAAAGAAAATGCTTTGTTAGGTTGACCAGAACACCCAGAACTGTACCGACAGTGCTTCAGCACCGAGCTCTGAGAAGGGGACCTGCACTGTCCAGGGCTCCTCCAGCGACACCGCTGTCCCCCCAGCGAGGGGGCCTCTGACAGCGCGCCTCTGCTGGTCCCCCGGGGTCCGGCTGTGCTGATGGCAGACACCCGGGCTGCATCGTCCCCAGGACAGCCCAAGAACCCCGAGCTGGCAGCTGTTCGCTAACCAGTCCTGGGAGAACAAGGCAGACAGAACACAGCACAAACCAAGAGCTGGCCACACGCCCACGGGCGGCTCGCGACCCAGGACTGCAGGAAACGCAGGGGCAGGAAGGCCTGCCTCAAAGCTGGGCAACGTCAGACACTTCCAGCCAGAGGCACAAATCCCTCCCAGCAACCTCTGACCAGGAAGGTGGCTCCCCACGGCCTGGGCCATCGACCTGGATCCCCCAGGCACCACCCTGCTCAAGGCCACAGGTCCGCTGTGCGCCTGCGAACACACAGGGAGCCAATAGAAGGCAGGGCCTCAGGGCTGCCCGCACGCGCCCGCTCACAGCTCTCTGGCGCTGAGGAAGGCGAGGACCTGCCACCGACAGGTGAGTCAAGGCCACCTGCGTCTGCAAACTCCGACCTGAGCGGCTGCCAGCTCAGGTCAAAGACAAGGAAGGAGAACGACAAAGGCTCCTCGAGGCAAAGGCGGAGACGAGTGAGGAGGGAGTTCCAGGCACACAGGTCAGATCTGGAATGAGCCTGCTCACACTTCTTCCAGAAACAGCCCCCCTACCCTCTGCCCCCTGTGCCAGCCGCGTGCCGGCACAGGGCTGTCTCCGGCTCTCCTGGGCTTCAGAGCCCCCCAGCGGATGCCTCAGTGCACGGCTCCTGTCTCAGCACCTCCTCTTCACCCCTCACATGGCTCACAGCGCACACTTGCCTGGTGTGTCAAGAGCTCAGCCTAGTGGCCGGCGCTGTGGTGTAGCAGGTAAAGTCGCCGCCTGCGGTGCCAGTATCCCATGTGGGCGCTGGTTTGAGTCCCGGCTGCTCTACTTAAAATGCAGCTCTCTGCTGTGGCCTGGGAAAGCAGTAGAAGATGGCCCAAGTGCTTGGGCCCCTGCACCCATGTGGGAGACCTGGCTCCTGGCTGTTGCAGCCATTTGGGGAGTGGACCAGCAGATGGAAGACCTCTCTCTGTGTCTCTGTCACTTTCATATAAATAAACAAACCTTAAAAAAAAAGAACTCTCGGGGCGCCGGATTCTGTCCCAGTTGCCCCTCTTCCAGGCCAGCTCTCTGCTGTGGCCCGGGAGTGCAGTGGAGGATGGCCCAAGTGCTTGGGCCCTGCACCCCATGGGAGACCAGGAAGAAGCACCTGGCTCCTGCCATCGGATCAGCGCGGTGCGGCGGCCATTGGAGGGTGAACCAACAGCAAAGGAAGACCTTTCTCTCTCTCTCTCTCTCACTGTCCACTCTGCCTGTCCAAAAAAAAAAGGACTCTCAGCCTCTGACCCACCCCAGGGCCAGGACGCCCCCACCCCCACCCCCACCCCGTGCGGTCACTCACGGCCCTGCAGTCACTTCTCTGCTGTCTCTGCAGGACACTGTCCAGCCCACGCCCAGTGCACAGAGCAAGAACCCACGGTGTGCTCGCCTGAGCACCCTCACCCCTACAGGAGGCCAGGGCCCAGGGCCTGGAACAGAGGACTCTCCTGGGGGCAGAGATGAATCTGGGCGCCCCTGGAGTGGTCATGGACGTGGGGGGCAATGGGGGGGCAGACCCACGACTCCCACCCACAGACTCCGAAACGTATGTGACATGCAGCTGCCAACGCGGGGACACCCGTCCCCAGCCTCCTGCACTTCACCTCCCGGAGAGCAGACAGGAGGAGCCACATCCGCGCACCGTCCTGGTGGTGGACGCCCCCAAGGCTGCGTCTGCTGCCCCTGACAGGACTACGCTGCCTCTGGCTTTCCTTTTACTTCTGCACTCCTCACCTGCTGCCCTGATGACGACCGAAGTCACCACTACTCTGATTCACAACTGCACCTGTGCACATGGTGGCTCTAACCCCTGCAGACACCAGGTGTCTGTACTGAGATCTTCCATCCACTGTTCTGGGGTGATGGACGGGTGGGACCAGGCCGAAGCCAGAAGCCTGGACTCCATCCGGGTCTCCCACATGAGTGGCAGGGACCCGAGGACTTGGGCCATCAACTGCTGCCTCTCAGGTGCACTAGCAGGGAGCCCGATGGGAAGCAGAGCAGCCACACTGGGACTGGTGCTGATACAGGATGCCGGTGCTGCCAGCAGCCAAGCCCCCGGGTCCCAGTGCAGGTCCTGGGGATGACCCAGCACATGAGGGCTGTTCTCTCTGCGCCTCTTAAATAAAAGGAGAAGCTGGGTGTTCCAGAGGAACTCACTGGTTAAGCAGTTAAAACCTGCACACATCTTGGAAAATGGCCCAGGCCCCTGGCCTCAAAGCCAAGCAATCACACAAGACCCAGGATGGACTACACGAGAGGTCAGAGGTAAAATAAGGTTCATTCAATTCTCAGAGGAGCGTCTGTGTTGGATCAGTGGCTGCACTGACGACGTCCTGGGGGTGGACACCCTGCACCTGAAGGCTGCATCCAGGGGGTCACGGACACCCCAAGGAAAGCTCGGCCGCCACGTGTGTCCTGGGTGGCACCACCTACCCCACCACACGAACGGAGCCCACGCTGCAGGGTAACAAGGGGATGCCACCGGGCAGGCAGCGGTGCAAGCCGGGCACCAGGGCTGGGGGCGGGGCAGCTGCCAGGAGGCCCAGGGACGCTGCGCCACCAGAGGGGTCTCGACCCTCGATCCTCACTGAGGGGCCCGGCCAAGGCGCACCCGAGTGCCCTGCTGTTCTCCACACTCCAGACGGCCATGCGCCCCCCACCGTCAGGTCAGCCAGCCCCGAGTCCAACTGCTTTCCTAGCACAGCAGCTCTCGGTCTCGCAAGGGGCCCCTAGGCCCCGGGGCTCCTGACACTGGCAGGCGAGGGGAGTGTTCACCAGATGGGGGGGCAAATGGTGCGGCCTGGCTGGGAGCCCTGGCAGCCAAGTGCTCAGCCTCAGGCCAGCCCACCTCGCGGTCAAGCCCCGAGGGCACCCAAGGCACCCAGGGTAAACCTCAACTCAGCCTAGGACCAGCCTCCCGGAGAGCGGCCAGGCACTTCCTGTGGGGAGGTCCCAGTGCCACCTCACACCTACAGTCACAGCGATCACGGTGTGCTCCAGGCCGGCCCAGCCGCTGGCGGGCGGTGAAGATGAGGAGTCTGCACGGAAGGGACTTCCCCTCGTTGCACTTTACACAACTGGGGTAAAGGTGTGCTCTTAGCTAAAAATAGCCCAGGGGCGGGGCGGGGCGGGGCGGGGGGCGGGGAGAGGTCCCAGAAGGCAGTCACGGGAGGTCAGCGGCGTGGAGGGCAGCACACGGCGCAGGTGCGGTGGCAGTGCCTCCCGCCGGGGCGGGCTGGACGGCAGGTGCTCAGAAATCCTGCCGGGGCTCCAACAGAGCTCCCCGAAGACCCTCGCCCGGCACAGCACGGCCGGGAGGAAGGACGGACAAGGGGCGCCAGGCAGGGTAAGAGACAAGGGCATCTCAAGACCAGAGCTGAGCACCCGCCCCGCAGGGCTGGGCCTACAGGCAGGGCTGGGGTTCCTGCCACCCCTCCCTGGGAGAGGCCCAGACAGAGGCCCACTCCCCCTCCTGGAGCTCAGAGGAACTGCACGCAGCAGCTGCACGTCCAGGTCCCCTCCCCGACATTTCAAAAGCTTCGCGGAAAATGGAACAAAAGACGAGCCACCGGCAACTGCTGGGGTCCCATCAGCACAGCGAAGCTGCCGCTTCCCACGGGGGGGGGGGGGGGGGGGGGCGCGGGCGCAGCGACAGCTCCACTAATGGCTCCTGCCGCCGGGGGGCCTGGACCAAGTCCTCGGTTCTGGCCTTTGGCCCAGGCCCACCCAGACTGCTGCAGACATTGGGGGAGTGAACCACTCTGATTTTTCTCCTTAAAAAGTTAAGCTTAGGGGCCGGTGCTGTGGCTTCACCTGGTTAACCCTCCGCCTGTGGCACTGGCATCCCATATGGGCTCTGAGTTCTAGGCCCGGTTGCCCCTCTTCCAGGCCAGCTCTCTGCTGTGGCCCGGGAGTGCAGTGGAGGATGGCCCAAGTGCTTGGGCCCTGCACCCCATGGGAGACCAGGAGAAGCACCTGGCTCCTGGCTTCGGAATGGCACAGCACCGGCTGTGGTGGCCATTTGGGGAGTGAACCAACGGAGGGAAGACCTTTCTCTCTGTCTCTCTCACGTCTATAACTCTACCTGTCAAAAAAACTTTTTAATGCACGTCCTGCCAGTGTGCCTGAGGAGCAGTGGGTGATGGCTCAAGTCCTCGGGCTCCTGTCACCCACACAGGATACGTGAGGGAGTTCCTGGCTCCTGGTTTCAGCCTCACTCAATCCTGGCTACTACAGGTGTTTAGATAGTGAGCCAGTAGACGGATGAGCTCTGCATCTATCTCTGCATATACAGAAAATATATTAAAAGAAAAACTTTCAATCCGGGAGGATGTTTACCACAGCAGTTAAAATGTGCTTTGGGCCGGCACCACGGCTCACTAGGCTAATCCTCTGCCTGTGGCGCCAGCACCCCGGGTTCTAGTCCCGGTTGGGGCGCCAGATTCTGTCCCGGTTGCTCCTCTTCCAGTCCACCAGTCCAGCTCTCTGCTGTGGCCCAGGAAGGCAGTGGAGGATGGCACAAGTGCTTGGGCTCTGCACCCACATGGGAGACCGGGAGGAAGCACCTGGCTCCTGGCTTCGGATCAGCGCAGCGTACCAGCTGTAGCAGCCATTTTGGGGGTGTACCAACGGAGGGAAGACCTTTCTCTTTGTCTCTCTCTCTAACTCTGCCTGTCAAAAAAAAAAAAAAAAAAAAAAAAAAAAAAAAAAAGCTTTGGGGGGAAGGGCTGGCTCAGTGGCACAGAGGGTTGTCACCATCTGTAGCACCTGTATCCCATTTGGGCACTGGTTTGAGTCCTGGCTGCTCCTCTTCCAATCCAGCTCCCTGCTACTGGGCCTGGGAAAGCAGTAGAAGATGGTCCAAGTGTTGGGCCCCTGCACCGCATAGGAGACCAGGAGGAAGCATCTGGCTCCTGGCTTTGGATCGGCGCAGCTCAGGCCATAGTGGCCATTTTGGGGGTGAACAAACAGAAGGAAGACCTTTCTCTCTGTCTCTCACTGTCTAACTCTATCTGCCAAAAAAAAAAAAAAAAAAAAAAAAAAAAAAAAAAAAAAAAAAAAAAAAAGACCATTACTACGGGGAAGGCATTTGGCCTGGGGTTAAGGCTCTCATCCCACAGTGAGCCCCTCTCTGGCCAGGCCCTGGAGTCAGGGATGATGGCCCAAGCAGTCGGGTATCACCCACATGGGAGACCCAGATTGAGTTCTGGGCTCCTGGCTTTCGCCTGGCTCAGTCCCAGCTCTAGTGGTCATTTGGGAAGTGAACCAACTGATGGACGATCTCATCCTCCTCTCTTCCTTTCAAACAGAAAAACAAATAAATCTCGGAAAAAAAAAAGATGGAAAGGCAGCCGTGCTCCAGTGAAAATGCTGCTGCCAAGATGGAGACAGCGCCAAGCCGACTCACAGATGCAGGGCATCCCAGTCAAACTGCACCTGCGGGGCCGGCGCTGTGCTGTAGCAGACAAAGCCGCCACCCGCAGTGCCGGCATCCCATGTGGGCACCGGTTCAAGTCCCGGCTGCTCCACTTCCCATCCAGCTCCCTGCTGTGGCCTGGGAAAGCAGCAGAAGATGGCCAAGTCCTTGGGCCCCTGCACCCGCGTGGGAGACCCGGAAGAGGCTCCAGGCTCCAGATTGGTGCAGCTCCGGCCGTTATGGCCACTTGGGGAATGAACCAGAGGATGGAAGTCCTCTCTCTGTCTCTACCTCTCCTTCTGTGTATCTCTTTCTTTCTCTCTCTTTTTTTAAAAGATTTATTTAAAAAATTTATTTATTTGAAAGAGTTATAGAGAGAGGTTGAGACAGAGAGGTCTTCCATCTGCTTGTTCACTCCCCAGATGGCTGCCAACAGCCGGAGCTGCACCGATCTGAAGCCAGGAACCAGGAGCTTCTTCCAGGTCTCCCACGTGGGTGCGGGGCCCAAGCACTTGGGCCGTCTTCTACTGCTTTCCCAGGCCACAGCAGGGAGCTGGATCGGAAGAGGAGCAGCTGGGACTTGAACCAGCGCCCATATGGGATGCCAGTGCTTCAGGCCAGGGTGTTAACCTGCTGCGCCACAGCGCCGGCCCCTGTGTATCTCTTTCAAATAAATAAATAAATCTTATCTGTGCTATCTGCGGCATGGCGGGTAAAGCCACTCTGCAGCGCCGGCATCCCAGAGTCCCGGCTGCTCCGCTTCTGATCCAGCTCCCTGCTGTGGCCTGGGACAGCGGCAGAAGATTACCCACATGCTTGCACCTGCACAGGAGACCCAGAAGAAGCACCTGGCTCCTGGCTTCGGATTGGCCCAGCTCTGCCATTGCAGCCATTTGGGGAGTGGACCAGAGGATGAAAGACCCACCCACCTCTCTGTCTCTCTGTAACTTTGTCTTTCAAATAATAAATTTAAAAATAAAAAAAAAAAACCTCTCAATTTGTGGTTCTGCTTTTCAAATAAATAAATAAATCTTAAAATGCACACACACAAAACCAGACACAGAAGCCCCATCTCGTCTGGGTCTGTTTACGTGACATCTGGAGGGCCGGGGGGAGTGATCCCCATGGGTCTGAGGCAGAGCTCAAACAGTGGTGAAGGCTGCACAACTCTGTACTGACAACACTGGCTTCGTCTTCACACTGCATGGTGCACTGATCTATGTATCTCAGTAAAGCTGCAGACACTCACGTCCGCTTCGGTCACTGTCCAGCGAGGACCACCTGCTGTGCTAGGGGTCAAGTGCGGCCCACACGGCTGTGCTGGGCCCGGGCCTGCTCTGTGCTAGGGGTCAAGTGTGACCCACACGGCTGCGCTAGGCCCGGGCCTGCTCTGTGCTAGTGGTCAAGTGTGGCCCACACGGCTGTGCTAGGCCCGGGCCTGCTCTGTGCTAGGGGTCAAGTGCGGCCCACACGGCTGCGCTAGGCCCGGGCCTGCTCTGTGCTAGGGGTCAAGTGTGACCCACATGGCTGCAATAGGCCCTGGGCCTGCTCTGTGCTAGGGGTCAAGTGCGGCCCACACGGCTGTGCTAGGCCCGGGCCTGCTCTGTGCTAGCGGTCAAGTGTGGCCCACACGGCTGTGCTAGGCCCGGGCCTGCTCTGTGCTAGGGGTCAAGTGCGGCCCACACGGCTGCGCTAGGCCCGGGCCTGCTCTGTGCTAGGGGTCAAGTGCAGCCCACACGACTGCGCTAGGCCCGGGCCTGCTCTGTGCTAGGGGTCAAGTGCGGCCCACACGGCTGCGCTAGGCCCGGGCCTGCTCTGTGCTAGGGGTCAAGTGTGACCCACATGGCTGCAATAGGCCCTGGGCCTGCTCTGTGCTAGGGGTCAAGTGCGGCCCACACGGCTGTGCTAGGCCCGGGCCTGCTCTGTGCTAGCGGTCAAGTGTGGCCCACACGGCTGTGCTAGGCCCGGGCCTGCTCTGCGCTTGGGGTCAAGTGCGGCCCACATGGCTGCGCTAGGCCCGGGCCTGCCCACCCCTCAGGCCTCTGTGAGCTCACCACGGCATGCACACGAGCTCGCACAGCACACAGCCACAAAAGGGACCCCAGTCCTGCGTGGAGACTCCCAGCAGGCCTAGCGTTGGTACCAGTGCCAGGGGCCACCTGTGCTGACCACAGGACAGCTGTTTGTCTGTGCTGGCATCAGGCAGCACCCGTCGGTCAGCTGTGCGCGTTCTCGCCTCAGGGGGTCGGGGAGGAGGAGGTGGACAGCCTGGGGCGGGTCTGTCTTCAGGGGGGCTCGGGCCTGGCGCCTACCTCGGCGGCTGTGGGGAGCGGGGCTTCGGCTTCTCCCGCTCCTTGTCCCGCTCCTTGTCCCGGTCCCGGTCCCGCCGGTCCTTCTCATCCCGCTTGGCGCGCTCCCGCTCCCACTCCTCCTTCCGCCGCTGCCGCTCCTTGTCGCGCTCCCGCTCCCGCTCGCGCTCCCGCTGCCGCCGCTCGCGCTCCCGCTCGCGTTCCCGCTCCCGCTCGCGCTGTCTGCTCTCCCGCTCTCGGTCCCTCTCCCTTTCCTTGTGGGAGAGCCAAACACAACGTGGTAATCAGAGAAGCGCCTGCGTCCGCGTCTCTCCCTGAAGCGCAGCAGCGAGAAGCGGAGGAGCTGCTGCTCCGGGCCCACGACCCCACTGCGGGCCTGCAGCCGCCCGCCTGCCCCACGGGCGTGGCACGGCGCCCACTGGGGTCCAGAATGGGGTGGGCAGCCCAAAAGGCCACTCCTGCTTTCTCACAGTCCCGAGCACCTCCGGACTTTCCCTTCGCTGTCACAACCAGCCCTGGACTGGGCAGGTCAGGGCCGCAGGGCGCTGGGAGGCAGGGCAGCTGCCCTGTCCAGGGAGCAGCAGGGACAGGGGTGCGACACGGTCACCTGCGGGCTGGGCGGCTCTGGGACAGCGACCCTTTCTCCACACTCCGCCCCTCTCCCCCACGGGTCTGACTCCAGCGGGTCCTCCTCTGGGGGCGGCTTGTTCACACGGCTCTAACAGCTGGGACAGGGACTCCCAGTGGGGGGCACTTGCTCCTCAGTCCACCCAACCCTGAGGGTCACACCAACACCCAAGCCACACGGCCGTCCTCGACGCCCTCGCCGGCTCAGAGCAGGTGCCACGTCTGCAGGCAGCATCAGAGCCGTCACTCGAGGGAGGACACAGCCCCTGCACCTGCGCCAGGGACCTGGGTCTCTTCAGGGAGGCCTCCGCCCGAATCCCACCCTCCCCCAGGGATCCGACGTAGTCCTCTGTCAGCAGCCGCTTTGGGCCTGACGTGAAGATGGAGCAGACGGGGTGACGAGGCGGGGGCCCCACTTACGCGGTAGCTGTGGTACGGCTCGGCGTCCGTGTACTGCACCCTGAAGTTCTCGTACTGCCCGCCGCGCCAGAACCGCTCAATCTCGTAGTCGTAGTAGGGATCCGCGTAAGGCTCAAGTCTGCAAAGACAGGGGGAGAAGGCGGCCTCGTCACCCGACCACAGGGGGAACCGCGGCGTGCGGTGTCGGCAAGCGCGGCCCAAGGCCGCCGTAGGAACAGTGATGTTCACCAGATCCCAGTCCACGCAGGAGACCCAGCGCGCCTCACACAGCAGCGCTCGCGGAGGAAGGCGCGGGCTTAGTCCACAGGAGATGCTGGAAATACGAGGAAATCCCGGAGTGCTCGTGGAAAAGGTGCCTGGCAGAAAACGACGCCAGCAACTCATCCAGGGCGTCCGCACAGCGTCTGCGTGAGGACTGGGCAAGGCGGTCGGAGGAGAGCCTGTCTAACCAACACGGACGCTGCTAAAACAGAAGCAGGCGCAAACAGTAAATTCACGGAGAGCCCTAGTAGAGGTGAAGTCATGATGCTTGACAAAGAGTGTATGGCAGGGGCCGGCGCTGTGGCACAGGGGGTTAACACCCTGGCCTGAGGTGCTGGCACCCTATATGAGCGCCGGTTCTAGTCCCAGCTACTCCTCTTCCGATCCAGCTCTCTGCTGTGGCCTGGGAAAACAGTAGAAGATGGCCCAAGTGCTTAGGCCTCTGCACCCATGTGGGAGACCTGGAAGAAGCTCCTGGTTAACAGCTTCAGATCGGCAGAGCTCCGGCCATTGCGGCCAATTGGGGAGAAGACCCACCCCCCCGTAACTCTTTCAAATAAATAAATAAATCTAAAAAAAAAAAAGTGTATGGGAGAAAATGCCCCAAAGAAATAACCGGTTTCCAGGCTGGCGCCACAGCTCACTAGGCTAATCCTCCGCCTGCGGCGCCGGCACCCCGGGTTCTAGTCCTGGTCAGGATGCCGGTTCTGTCCTGGCTGCTCCTCTTCCAGGCCAGCTCTCTGCTGTGGCCCGGGAGTGCAGTGGACGATGGACCAAGTGCTTGGGCCCTGCACCCGCATGGGAGACCAGGAGAAGCACCTGGCTCCTGGCTTCGGATCGGCACAACGCGCCGTGGCGGTCATCTGGGTGGAAAAAGGAAGACCTTTCTCTCTGTCTCTCTCTCACTGTCTAACTCTGCCTGTCAAAAAAAAAAAAAAAAGAAAAAAAAAAAAGAAATAAGCGGTTTCCAAATAGCTACCTGGTTTTACGGAGGAGGAAGCCGAGGACAGAGTCTGCAGTGGTGGTCTACCCACTCCCATTTGTGAGGAAAAAGCAGCCCCGCTCACCCCCCCTGAGCGACTCAGAGAAGTAACACCAACAGACCACAACCCGGCCACCAACGCCATCCTGACTGCGAACTCAACGTGCAGCCAACGTCCTCCTGGTGGGTGTCAAAGCCGCTGCACCCACGTCAGCTGTGGACCGGGGCAGAGATGGCACTGGAAACTTGCCCAGTGGGGTCAAGACCCGGAAGCACTTCTTCAGAGCATGGAACAGATGAAGTGTGGCCTCCCTAGGACCATTCTGAAGACAAGCGTGGCCAGAGCGACGGGGAGCCGGCAGCGGCCCAGCCACGAGCAAAGGTCATGGCCAAGTTTTGGGGCAGGTTCATGGCACTCTGCTTACTGACCTTCTCAAGGCCCAAAGAGCAACAAGCGCTGCTTATCAGGTGTTTCGGGAAGTCAGCAAAGCTCAGTTCAGAAACAGCCAGAGAGCTTGCCCAGGGTCCTCACACAAGGGCGAGCCAGTCACTGTTCTCAGGGGGTCACCAGGCATCCGCTGGTGGTGCTTCCCAGTGTTAAAAAGCTGCACGGGGACCGGCGCTGTGGCGTAGCGGGCAAAGACACTGCCCGCAGTGCCGGCATCCCATGTGGGCACCGGCTTGAGTCCTGGCTGCTCCACTTCCGATCCAGCTCTCTGCTGTGGCCTGGGAAAGCAGTGGAAGATGGCCCAAGAACTCAGGCCCCTGCACTCACGTGGGAGATCCAGAAGCTGCCGGTTCCTGGCTTCAGCCTCGCCAGTCCTGGCCACTGAGGCTGCTTCGGGACTGAACCAGCAGATGGAAGATCACAAGGACATCTTTGTAAGTGACTTTCGAATAAGTAAATAAATCTTAAGAAAATCACAAACAAAAACTGCAGATTCCAGTTCCGAGGCAGCCGGGCAGTGGCACTGCCTGGGCAGGGCGGGGTCAGGCACCCTCTGCACGGCGCCCTGCCTGCTGGACGCTGACAGTGAAGACGAGGGTCCCGGGGGCTCACCAAGGACCAACAGCACGGCCGCCTCTGCCTCCCGCAGGCTGTCCAGCCCCGCCTCAACACCCCCGCCTGTGGAATGAGCTGTCACACTGCCTCCCACCTCCCACTCTGCTGCTGGCAGGGGGGACGCGGGCCTGTGGCCACCGCAGGAAGAAGGGCCTGACTCGTTCTTCAGGCAGCCCAGCCCCCTCCCCACTAAGAGGCCACACATCACCCAGTGCAGCGTGTGCACTCGTGGTGGCTCAGAGGCCTGGGTGACAACACTGAAACCGCGTCGGCCTCTCTCCTGCGGAGGGCAGACTACGCTGGGGTCGGACAAGGTGCCGTCAGGAGACGGTGGGGAAGACAGGCAGGGGACGGGCGGAGCGGCGGGAGCTCTCCACCGCGTCCAGGCAAAGCAGGCTGGTTTCTGGGAATCCCACCACGACGCACCGTGCCAAAGGGGAGAGCAGCCACGCGGGACTGCCCACACTGAGGGTCGGGGGCGGAGCCGCTGCTGACCTCACTCCGCAGATGGCCCCGTGCAGCTGTGAGCTTCCACGGGTCGGCTGGGGTCTGAGCGAATGATCCACCGGGTGACTTCTCATTCCAGAAGGGGATGAAGGGACGATTTTCTCGCCCTTTACGACCTGAGTCAGAGGTCCCGACACACCCCAAGCCCTTCCCCTCGGCACAGCTTCCAGGCGCTGTCCCAGTCAGGACACGGAGGGCGCCGAGGACTGACCCTGTGGTCCTCCACCTGCTCTGCCCGATGCGCATGACCGCACCCACACAGCGCTCTGTGCCGCCGGCAAGCAGGGTGCACGGCAGCCCCTGCGACTCTCACAGACACCGCCCAGGCAGGAGCAGCGCTTCAGGGTCATCATCCGCACCTCACAGAGAAACCGCGCCCTTCCACGGTGGCCACGCACAGCAGACGGCAGAGCCAGGCCCGGTCCCGACTCCACCGCTCCTGTCTGTCACAGGACAAGGGCCACACACACAACCCAATCAGAAAACCTCCACGTTCTCACTACACCGTGCAGGGACAAGTCCAAGACATGGCCCGGAGGCCTGACGCCCTCTGTGGTTCAACTTGTAACACAACAGCGTGACTAACAACACACGTGGTAAACATCACTCAGCACTCATCTCTGGAGTTCCCATCAGCATTGCAGACCAAGACTGACCCGTCCCACCTCTCCACGCTCTGTGCTGTCCCAGCCACAACAGGCGTGGGTCCCCCAGAAACCTGGAGGGGGCACGCGGGGGACAGGACATGGGGCCTCGGGAACACACCAGAGGGCCACGCTGAGCACCAGACCCTGAAACACCAGCACAGGCTGTGCCTTCGCGTCTTCCCACTCCCTCGGCCAGAACAGCAGGCACAAACAGACCAGGGGTCCCAACAAGGCTAGGACAGGGCTAGAGCTGACGGGAGCGGCCCCTGCGGCTGTGCTGAGCCCTGGGCGGGGGGCCGAGTTCTGCAGGGCTGTGCTGAGCCCTGGGCGGGGGGCCGAGTTCTGCAGGGCTGTGCTGAGCCCTGGGCGGGGGGCCGAGTTCTGCAGGGCTGTGCTGAGCCCTGGGCGGGGGGCCGAGTTCTGCAGGGCTGTGCTGAGCCCTGGGCGGGGGGCCGAGTTCTGCAGGGCTGTGCTGAGCCCTGGGCGGGGGGCACACAGGCCCTCGAGACCTGCCCGTCATCCTGCAACCCCATGCGTTTCCTAGCTAGCTGTTAACCGGGCGGAGAAACAGATTCACAGAGAGGTCACGGCCGCCACGCTCTGACAGCGGCGACACCTTCACACACCTCCTGGCTCCTGCGACAGTGTCAGGACGGCTCTGGCGCTGAGGGCGCTGAGGGCGCGCACCCTCCCCCACAGGATCAAGGAAAAGGCGGCCGCCCGTCAGGGAAGTCCCGGCTCTGCCTCTGGATGGCCCAGCAACCATGCGGCAGCGCCCGCCCCACCCCTGGGCCCTGCGCACGGCTGCCACACAGGGAGGGGGGCGGAGCCATCCTTACGCTGTGTCTCTGACATCTCTGGGGATCCGAGAATTCCAGTCTCGGAAGACTTCATTTTCTTTGTCAAACTCCCGCTCGTCTTCGCCGATGGTCACTGTGAACCTCTTTTCTTCAAAATCAGGCTCCTGTTCTTTCCGAATGGTCGCTTTCTTCAACACCTACCATTGGGAGGAGAAAGAAGTCGACGTGCAGCCAGGACACAGCGTGACTGTCAGGAGGCCCCAGGGGCCCTGGGGGGCTCCACTGAAGCAGCCCTGGGACACAGCCTCGAGGATGGACGTGGGATGGACACAGGACGTCAGGTGTGCCTCTGGGGCGTGGCCTACGTCCGTGCAGTTAGCTGCATCCAGGCACTGCAGCGAGGCGTGGGGCAGCTGCTCACTCCTCCGCGGTGGGATGGGACTCCTGTGTGCAGGGTGCCGGGATGGGAGGTGGCTGACTTTGCCTGTCATTTCCCCGAAGAGAAACCACCCTGGCAGCCAGGAGAGCAGGGCTGGGTACCTGCAGAGCCTGGTCAGCAGGTCGCAGCCCAGCACCAGGGCCACAGTGGGCCTGGAATGAGGGAATGGGCAGTGCTGGGAAGCCAAGACAGCACTGGGGCCTCTCCAGGGACAGCAGACACTGTGCCTCAGGACGGCAGGGAGGGCTGTGGGGGGCACCGTGGGCTGCCCTGCTGGGCCTCGGGACGGCAGGCAGGGCCATGGGGGGCACCGTGGGCTGCCCCGCTGGGCCTCGGGACGGCAGGGAGGGCCGTGGAGGGCACCGTGGGCTGCCCCGCTGCGCCTCGGGACGGCAGGGAGGGCCGTGGGGGGCACCGTGGGCTGCCCCGCTGCGCCTCGGGACGGCAGGGAGGGCCGTGGGGGGCACCGTGGGCTGCCCCGCTGCGCCTCGGGACGGCAGGGAGGGCCGTGGGGGGCACCGTGGGCTGCCCCGCTGCGCCTCGGGACGGCAGGGAGGGCCGTGGGGGGCACCGTGGGCTGCCCCGCTGCGCCTTGGGACGGCAGGGAGGGCCGTGGGGGGCACCGTGGGCTGCCCCGCTGCGCCTCGGGACGGCAGGGAGGGCCGTGGGAGGCACCCCGAGAGGCAGAGCTGGTGCCCCTGCCGCAGGCAGCACCGACTGTGGCCCCGCACCCCCAGCCACATGAAGAGCGGGCCTGGTCCTAGGCTGGGCTGCCCTGGCTTGCTGTGGAGACAAGTGGACTGCGCTGCCCACTGGTAACTCCTGAAGAGAACACAGAATTCCTCCCCAAGTCCAGAGGCCTCGCTAAGGTTCCCACGAGTGTCCGGACGAAGGGCCGTGGGCCGTGTGGGGCACCACTGCCCTTGGGTTCTCTCCCGAGTCCCGTTACCTCCTTCGCGTGCCGCAGTCCCCGCTCCCAGGCGCTCTCCGTCGGGGGCTCTGGCGGGGGTGGGGGCAGAATCTCGTCCACCGCGGGCCCTCCCTGTCGGAGTGAGGAGGAGGCACTGAGAGCATGGAAAACGCTAAACCTGAGCAGAGCAGGGTGCGCAGACGACCGACACACGCACACTCCCGAGCCGCGCAGAGCAGGTGCGCAGACGACCGACACACGCACACTCCCGAGCCGCACAGAGCAGGTGCGCAGACGACCGACACACGCACACTCCCGAGCCGCACAGAGCAGGGTGCGCAGACGACCGACACACGCGCACTCCCGAGCCGCGCAGAGCAGGTGCGCAGACGACCGACGCAGGCACACTCCCGAGCTGCGCAGAGCAGGTGCGCAGACGACCGACGCAGGCACACTCCCGAGCCGCACAGAGCAGGGTGCGCAGACGACCGACACACGCACACTCCCGAGCCGCGCAGAGCAGGTGCGCAGACGACCGACACACGCACACTCCCGAGCCGCGCAGAGCAGGTGCGCAGACGACCGACGCACGCACACTCCCGAGCCGCACAGAGCAGGTGCGCAGACGACCGACGCACGCACACTCCCGAGCCGCACAGAGCAGGGTGCGCAGACGACCGACACACGCACACTCCCGAGCCGCACAGAGCAGGTGTGCAGACGACCGACGCAGGCACACTCCCGAGCCGCACAGAGCAGGTGCGCAGACGACCGACACAGGCACACTCCCGAGCCACACAGAGCAGGGTGCGCAGACGACCGACGCAGGCACACTCCCGAGCTGCACAGAGCAGGTGCGCAGACGACCGACGCAGGCACACTCCCGAGCTGCACAGAGCAGGTGCGCAGACGACCGACACACGCACACTCCCGAGCCGCGCAGCGTCCTCAGGCTGCATCTGGGGTGCTCCTACGGGGGCACCGCAGGGCAGGGGAAAGGGCTCCGTGGCCTTCTCCAGCGCGGCCCAGCAGAGCGCAGAGGCCCGATTTGTCAGCAACGAACGAAGAAGAGGCGGTCACGCACCCAAGGGTTGGCAGGCATCAGTGGGTGAGGTCCGAGAGGCGGGGCGCCGTTAGGCGGGAAGGGGTCGGCTTTGGTGATCAGGGAGTAGTTCCCCTTGTCGTTCACGCCAGGGTGTATAAACCTGCAGTTCATCCCCCAGGTGCAGTTCCCTATGGAAACAAAAGTCAGGTCAGAAAGGGTCTCGGAGATCCTCACTGCCTGAGGGCGGCAGCACCTACTGAGAAACAGGGCGCACCGCACGCCCTCACAGGTCAGGGGTCGGCAGGGGACAGGCCCAAGCCTGGAGAGGTGCGGCCAGGCAGCTGCAGCCCGGCTGCCAGGCCCCTCCGTGAGGCCGGGCAGCACTCCCAGGCTCAGACGGGACTGGAGGGTCTCAGTGTCCGGCTCAGCCAGGGAGCGCCGCCCCGAGCGAGCACCTCCCAGGCTCCTAGGCCAGGGGCCCTCTCACCGTGCAGAGGGTGCGCCCGTATCAGCGGAACGCTTTCTCTGTACACTGGCAAATTCCAAGGCCTGAGACGGACACAGGTGGCAAACGGGCTGACTCCAGCGGCACCCCCCCGCCCCCGTGCCCACGCAGAGGTGGCGCTGTGGCTTCAGGCGCCTTTCCAGAGTGAGCACTGGACATTTTAAAGACTCTGCTTCCAAAAGTACTCTTAGAGGTTGGGCGTCTCTAATTCTAAAACCTGAAATGTGAAATGCTATGGAATTCAGAATTTTTTCAGCACCAACATGACCCTCAAAGATTTGGAACTGTGAGGACCAGCACAGTGCTGCCGTGGGTCAGCCGCTGCCTGCAAACTGGGTTCCGCATCCAGGGACCGGTGGGAGCCCTGCCCGCTCTGCTTCCAGTTCAGCTGCCCGCGACGGCACCCAGGGGCTGCCAGCAGCCCGGGCCCCTGACCCAGCTCTGGCTCCTGTGGCCATCGGGGCAGTGGACAGACATGGAGGCTCTCTGCCTCTCAGAGTTCTGGATGCTGAGCCTTGGGGTCAGGGCGCCCACTGGCGTCTGTGCAAGATTTCAGCATCTGAAACTCTGGAACTTCAGACAGTTTCCAAGCCTGGTGGGAGGGGCCTCCACCCACACGGAGAGAGATCAAGGAGCAGCTGCCGGCAGCCGGAGCCCGGCAGGTGCAGTCCTGCGGGCCCACGTGCCTCTCACCAAAACGCACACCAATCTCTGCAGGATGCTCCTGGTACTTTAAAAAGTCATCTTCGGCAACGCGACGTCAGACTAACGAAGGAGAGCGCTTGATTTTCAGTGTACATTCAAAGATGCCCAAGCTTTTAACCCAGTTTAGAGTAATCACTTTTTAAAATAAAGATTTACTTGAAAGGCGGAGTAACAGAGACACAGAGAAAGATCTTCCATCTTCACTCTCCAAAAGGCTGAACAGTCAGGCTTGGGCCAGGTCCAGACCAGGAGAGCCCAGGAACTCCCACGTGGGTTCAGGGGCTCGAGCACTTGGGCCATCATCCACCGCTTTCCCAGGCACCTTGAGGGCGAGCTGGATGGGAAATGGAGCAGCTAGGACTCAAGCCCATGCTCCGATATGGGATGCCGGCATTGTAAGCAGCAGATTAACTCACTGCGAAGCAACACCAGCCCCAAGTGTATCACTATTACTTTAAATTCAATTTTCTGAATAGCCAATATGAGGTGCATATAGTTAAAAAATAAATATGGCATATAGGACCTAAGTAGGTTTGAGAAACATTTTTAGTGGGCTAATAGATTTTAAATCATTTAAAAATATATACCGATATACCGAAACTTAAACACGACATTCTATTTGAACATTTCCATTAACGAATCATGTTTTCCCTTTTACAGCATAAACAAATGATCACTTGGTATGTAGCAAACTCCACCTTTTAACAACGGGGACTACTGCAGCGTGTGCCCGAACACAACACAGCGTGCAGATCCAAGTTAGAGCGTGAAAGCTGCTCCAAACACTTACACGCCAAAGTGACAAACTGACTCCTGGCGTGTTTCAGAGACCACGTGATCAGAGACCAGGCAGTGGGATTCTGCAAGGGTTCAAAATCCCGGAGCCTCACAGATTAAAAAAAAACCAAAAACCCAAAAACCTATGCAGCCACAAACTCAAAAAGCCCAAGCACTGTTGACTCCAGAAGTTCATTAGGGCACTCACAGCCAACATCTCTTGTGCATTAAAATCAATCAACGCTCTCTGTACATTTGCAAGTACAGCCAAGCACTGACAGAGTAAGCCACAGCTCTCGCCATGTTTTCACCTGACATAGGCTCAGGCAGCAGGTAAGCGGATATTCTTCTGTTTTTTCTGTATTTACAAACATTAAAAAAAAAACTCAGGGGCCGGTGCTGTGGTGCAACAGGTAAAGCCACTGCCTGTAGTGCCAGCTGCTCCACTTCTGATCCAGCTCTCTGCTGTGGCCTGGGAAAGCAGTAGAGGACAGCCTAGGTCCTTGGGCCCCTGCACCCATATGGGAGACCAGGAGGAAGCTCCTGGCTTCAGATCGGTCCAGCTCTGGTCATTGCAACCATCTGGGGAGTGAGCCAGCTGATGGAAGACTTCCCTCTCTGTCTCTGCCTCTCTGTAACTCTGCCTTTCAAATAAGTAAATACTTAAAAACAAAAACCAAACCCAAACATTATGTATGAGCTGTCAGAAAAGATCTTTATCATTCATACCAGCAGCAGAGAGAAGAAACGGGCACAGGTAGGTGGGGGAGCCCAGGGCACGCCCCTTCCGGCCCTGTTGGGCGACACGGCAGCACTCCTGAGCCCTGCCACATCGCAGGGGCTACATCAGTGACGGTGGAAGCTGTTTGGGACAGTGGTTAGAGCTGCACACGGGAGGCCTGCACACCATAGCGGAGTGCCTGACTCAAGTCCCAGCTCCTCGGCGTCCACCCCAGGTTCCTGCTGCTACACCCTGGGAGCAGAGTATCTGCCGCCCACAATGGAGCCCTGGACGGACTCCCAGGCTCCTAGTTTTGGCCTGGCCCAGCCCCGACTGCTGGGGCCACTTGGGAGCTAACTAGCAAATGGAAGGTCTGTCATCTTTCTCTGCTTTCAGATAAAATGGAAATAAAAAAATTAAAAAAAACCTTATCTATGAGACAGAGACATGTCTCGCCTGTTGGTTTACTCCCCAGATACAAGAACTGGAGATGGGCCAGGCCAGTCGGAGCCAGAGTGTGACCGGGGTCTCCCAGGCCAGTGGCGGGCTCTGTGGCCTCCCGGGTCTGCCCTGACAGGAGGCTGCGGTCAGCAGCTGGAGCTGGAAATCAAACCGGCTACGGTGATGTGGGGGGAGGGCTGAAACCACGATGCTGAGCACCTGCTGCCGGGCGGTTTTTAAAAGATCGTTTTCTTAATTGATTTTATTTGAAAGAGACAGACACACAGACAGAGAGGGAGAGGGAGGGAAGTGTCTCCTACCTGCTGCCTCACTACTGGGAAGCCCATAGCACCCGGGGACAGGCTAGACTGAAGCTGCAAACTCCATGGGACTCCCACGGGGCTGCAGGAACTCAAAGGGAGCCGCTACCTGCAGCCTCCCAGGGCGCACACTAAGGATGCTGGACCAGGGGCGCTCAGGACTCAGTTCAGAACTGCAGGACGGGGTGTGGGTGTCCCACGTGAGGCTCTGGTCGCTGTGCCTGCTGCCCTGCTCCTGAGTGGTATTCTGATCCCCGGCCACCGGAGCAAAGCGGCAGACGCAGGGAGAGGGCTGACTGCTCTGGAGGCGCAGGGAGCACCCAAGTCCAGCCGTATCAGGCGGCAGGAGCAGGACATTGTGGCCCCTGTTAAAGGTGCACTTTATCTACAGACCGAAGCCTGGGAGGGCAGACACCGCACTGCTGCAGCTGTGGAGAAGCACGGGTGCCCTGACTGCCAGCGCGTAGCATCTCCACCCATAAAACTAGAGTCTGCTGGGAAGAGAGGGGAAGCACCCGAGAAACGGAAGCCAAGCTGAAGGCTCGGGTGTAAATGCTACAGCTGTGCTTCCAGGCTTCCACATGTAACTCTTGCTCTAACAGAAACAGGTTTACTGACAACCGACAGGAGCCCGGGGCACTGGGCGGGGGAGGGGCCCTCCGGTGGGGCAGGGCTACAGCTCCTTCATCTCTCAAAGGTCCAGGGCGCACTGCTGGCCTGAGGGGCATCAAAGGGACCGCTGCCGCCTCCTTCACCGAGGCTGGGCACCTGAGCCGAGTGTTCTGCTCTCCTGTTCACCTTCATGCCTGGGTACATACTGCACTCCAAAGAAAACAAGCAAGAACAGCCACAGAAAGGTCTGTATGGGGGCTGGCGCTGTGGCGCCCTGGCCTGAAGCGCCGGCATCCCAAATGGCACCGGTTCAAGACCTGGCTGCTCCACTTCTGATCCAACTCTCTGCTGTGGCCTGGGAAAGCAGAAGATGGCCCAAGCCCTTGGGCACCTGCAGCCACGTGGGAAGACCTGGAAGAAGCTCCTGACTCCTGGCTTCGGATCGGCACAGCTCCGGCTGTTGAGACCAATTGGGGAATGAACCATCGGATGGAGACCTCTCTCTCTGCCTCTCCTCTCTCTCTAACGCTTTCATATATATAAATAAACCTTAAAAAAAAAAAAAAAAGGGTGAGGTCTTGCTCCTACCCACTCCTCCCTGGGCTCCATCAGCGTACTCGACCCGTTTCTTCCCACATATTACACCTGCTGTGCTCAATCTGCCTGCAAAATAGTCTGCATGCTGGGCGGCTCCCACGGCAGAAAGCAAGGAAACTGACAGAGGCCAGAAGCCAGCGGCACCGCGTCCGGGACACACTGGCTGCCACCCGTGCTCCCGAGGTGTGGAGACCACGGTCACCGGCACAGGGCAGCACTGGCATTCACCCACCTGCCCTGGCCACAGCAGGACCCTCCCTCCACACCTGCGTCATACTAGGAGCCTACAGACGTCCCACAGAGGCCTCTCATTTGCGTATTCCTTGGTTCCCTTTCCAGTCTAAAGAAGGTCACAGATGTAGGGACAGCCAAGACTAAGGTGCTTCAAGGTCTTTAAAACAGTAACTGACGAGAGGAAGGCAGAATATACAAAAACAGTTCACGTCCTCAGCCCTGAGGACGTGAACCCCAGCAGGCCAGGTGCCCAGCCAGCCCGGCAGATGGGCGCCA